TTAAACGTGAATGTTTTCAGAATTAAGGAAGTCGTGACATTTTAAAATTTTGAAAAAGCGGGCAAAAACCTCTCCAACTGTTTGGGGACATGAGCAAAGAGAAGCATTTTGAGTGAACATAAAGGCCATTTCAGTAGCGCGACCCCGGTCTCCTGTTGTTTGTTTGGCTCCCGGAGATTCCCACCGCATCCTTGGCAACGGACAGCGAGCTTATTCCGGTGGATGGCTCTCCTGTGTCACGAGGGCAGCCCTCTGGATCCAGGCCGTGCCCAGCCCAAAAGGACAACGTGAGCCCCTCTTCCCATGGACTCACCACCCGCGTGCAGGAGCCTATCCCAGCTGTCTTTGGGCAGTATACAGGCCGTGCCCAGCCCAAAAGGACAATGTGAGTCCCTCTTCCCATGGACTCACCACCCGCAAAAGGGGCAAAGGAGGTCAGGCTTCCATTCATGTAACGACCTTTCCTCACGAGGGTCGCGAGCGTGCAGGAGCCTATCCCAGCTGTGTTTGGGCAGTAGGGCGGACTACAGCAGCCATTCACACAATCAAATCTCGGGACGATTCAGTGTTCCATTAACCGACCATGCGTGTTTTTTGAACGTGGGAGGAAACCAGAGTCCCCGGAGAAAACCCACGCAGACAAACTCCACACAGGAAGGCCGGAGCCCGGAGGTGCTAATCAGTCGTCATTCTTGTTTCGTTCCTCAAAAGTGCGATTCTTTACAGAGAATGATAATAACAATACTAATAATCCCTACAGAAACAAACTCGAACAAGGAGCATGTGGAAAATATCCAACTGAATCTCCTCATTGTCACTCATTAGGCCATGCCCTTTAATGTACAGTCCTACTGTGTGTAGGTGGGTGACTTTCACCTTAATTACACTTCAACAGTCTATTGCTTTACATTGTCTGACATTTATAGAACACAATAAATAAATGGCGGTGTTTTTCGTCAGGGCTGGAATGGATTCATGCCATTTCACTTCATGTCAATAGTGGAAAGGGTATTCAGGGCAACTGTATGCTTCTTCTTATCATTATTGTGATTTACAGCGGTGTCAGACTGCACTGCATCATACCGAGAGCTGAATATTTCGATTCCCCTGCACCTCCAGACATAAATCATGTCAATTTGAGCCAGAGCGGGCTCATTAGCTTTTTCAAAACGGAAACGCTGAATGCAAAGCGCACAGAAATCAATCGAGGGACGGTTGCTATGAGTTACCACCACTGAAAATATATACACCCTGTCATAAAAATACATACAGTAGCAACATTAGGACGCGTGACTTCCCGGAAGGAGGACGGGGGTGGAAAGGCGGGAGCCAAGGTAAAGATGAGAAAGTGGCGCCTTTTAAAGCTCTCCAGGGGGATAATGCAGCCTATCGCGCTTCACTGGCATTGTACACAGTGGACTGTGCAAAATGCAATTTTGCATGCATTCTCCGTGATGCAACACGCTGTTATTTCCACATTTAATGGCACTGTTTTCCCCCCCGCGTATGCAACGCCTCATTCGGCCTGACTGAGCAAAGGATTTGAAGGAATTACACGTTTTTTTTTGTTTGTTTGCTTTCCCATTTGATCAGGGTTGCTTCCGGCAAGAGGAGCGGCGGAGGCTCCACATGGCAGCCTGGCCAAATGTCCCTGTGGGGAAACATCAAAATATGTTTGGATATTTGCCTACTAAAATGAGATTTTTTTTTTTTTTTTTTTTTAAGACCAACTACAGCAAGCCTGTAGAGAGGATTCAGATTGGCCTTGCTGCTTTAGAGCGCCTCAGACTTTCTTTTTTTTTTACTATGAATTGTTTCTAGTCTTTGTTAGTTTCTATTGTTTGAGGTGCCTCGTGAATACCTCGGAAGAAAAGAGAGTGAATGAGCGTATGGCACGTTTACATTGCATGACGTGAGTGTGCCAGAGAAGAACTGTACCGATCTTGAGTACATATTGGCGCGCTTTGCGCTCACAAACATATCGGATTTTTGGTGTTGAGTGGTCACCTTGTGTCTGAATTCCCTTCGATCACAATTACAGAATGTTTTAAAACCCTGTAATAAAAGTATTCATGAATGCATCTGGCCCAGAAGGGATTTGCAGAGTAGAAAAAAATAAATATATATACAACTCAGAGCTCGACCACAACAACCAAATTCCCTTCGATCACAATTACAGAATGTTTTAAAACCCTGTCATAAAAGTATTCATGAATGCATCTGGCCCAGAAGGTATTTGCACAGTAAAAATAAATAAATATATATATATACAACTCAGAGCTCGACCACAACAACCAAGGGATGTGTACTTTTTTTGGACAATCTTGGTTCACTCTCCCATAAAGTGTGCTTACAAGTCTATGTTCCAATTGATTATGAAGTTGTTGGATGCATTTAAACCCAAATCCCGTGGTGACGGCAGCGTCTGGCAGCCAATGGCCACTCCTCCCGGCTTTATTGGCCTGCGGTGGTTGAGGAGCCTCGCAGGAGTGTGGGAGTTGTTTCCAGACACTCAAGGAGAAACATGTAGGCAGACGGTGGAGGCGGCATTAGCTGCAAGTGTGGACAGAACACCAGCATGCCATGCTTGGATTTGTATTTATTTTTCCACCACGGGGCCTTCTGAGGGGCTCATCAAAACCATAACGTGGATCCTTTTGACTCCAGTCCGCCTTGAGATGCATGTTATTTGTGTGAGCAAACCTATGAATTGTCCATGTGCTACCCAGAGGCGTGACGTTATGTTCCGAGGACAAGGTGAGGTTCAAAAGAGAAAATTCTGAACTCAAAATCTTGCGTATATTGGTACGTTATGAGATTGTCACAAAAAATGGTGAGGGGAGCAGTTAGGTTTATCGTCTGACCTATAATGTCACGCACACATCTGTCATGGCCTTTTTATTACTCTGTGGATTACTTGCAGTCATTCTGTTGATTTCTATGATTCATCCAGATGTGAATAACCAGAAAGAAGTGCAATCGCATCACAGTCATGGCATGTTTATAATGGCAAAAAAAAAAAAAGGATCATTTTTATTGCCCAAAAAGTGATCTCTGCAACATCACTTTTTGTACAATTTCCAAACTGAATGCTTGCCATGGCACAGTGGGAAACTAAACGAGTTGCTCTTCTGCTGTGTTGACCTTCCTCTGGCGGAGTCATTATCGTAAAACACAATCAGAAGATTGCGGCTCCCATCACTGGGTCACATTTTCCACTATAAGCGCTGCATCATTTTTTTTTTTCTCTCCCAATGGGCCTCTTTGGGCATTGCGTGTCACCATCAGCTGTAATGAAAGGAATCATGAGAAGCCACCTCATTGGATCATATCGTCTTTGGAGGGGATTCAATTTCTCTCCCAAGTGTGCTCCAGTCGATTGCGAAGCCATAAAAGGAGGTTCACCTTGACAGAAAGGCGTCACGTCAAATGTGCAGACTTGATTGAGTTCTCTGGATTTGGTGGTGAAGCAGAAGTCGTCCGACTGGTCTCCATGTTGCATGGCGGCCTGTTGCCAAGTAATATTGTAGCTGAGGGCAAAATGGAGAAAAGCTACACACCTTTTTTGTTCAATGCTACGCTTTCGTTCTTATTTCACGTTATTGCTTTATCCGAGTAAAGGTATCATTTCAAACATCAATATTCATCGTGTAAATGTAATGGAAAGCGGCATCAAATACTCCAAGTGACTGGATATGGCGCATGAAGTTGCTCCATTTGTCATTTTCAAAACAGAGAAGAGTGGAATCATAAGGCCAGTCGCCTGAAACAAACAGCACATCAAGCTAGTTGATTCCAATTCAGTTACATTTTTACTGCCTTATAGTCACCCGCATCTTTGTTTGACAGTAACAAAACAGTCAGTAAAAAAAAGAAAATGTACACTTATACTGTATATATTAAATTGTGTGAGGTTATTTTCAAAATTAAAGGCAAAGTTAACAGTTTGACTTTTGTGAGCGTACATAAATGGTTGATGAAGTAGGGGGCATATCCAATTTCGCCGAGGGTGCCACATTGGCACGGTCCTTCCAATACTGCTCCAAGTTGATCCTCTGGGTGTGGGTGGGGGACAGAGGCAAAGCCATGAAGTGCAATATGGCGCTGGTGACATCTTGAGGCCAACATGAGAACTTTGAAGGGAAGGTTCCAAATCAATACTGTGGTGTGCCTTAATTTCTCCACAGTCTGGTTGACATTTCACAGGGTCACAATCACTTTTCTTGAGTAGAGCTTGAGGCAAGTACCTCGAGGCTGAGAACCCGATCCATGGCGACTCTGAGCTGCGTCCTCGCGAAACATGGACGCCATAAATGAGTGAGAATGCTGCAAGAATAGAAATGTTGTGCCTGGTTATTGGGATTTCCACAACCGTGTGCAGACCAATATTATTATCATTAAAAGAATCTAATGAAACTCAAACTAATTGTTTTTTTTTGTATTTTTAATTTGAACGTTTTTTTCCCAGATATCCTTTTAAATGTTGATTTTTCTTTTTTTACTTAAAAACAGACCCAGATGATTTTATCTTTCCACACTCTAAAACTTTTTTCAGACTTTTGATATTTGTTTCAGATAGGACCGCGTTTATTTTCAGGGCCAATAAAACAAAAATGGAAATGTTAAACCATTTATCGTGGCTAAATTTGCCTTCGTTTCTGTTAATATCACTTATGTCCATAAGAAATGATATTGTTGGGCAATGTTTGAATTTGCATATTCCTATTGCACAGTTTTGTCAATTTGACATTCATTCGTGTTCATTTAAAAAAATGAATCAGAAATGACTCCCCAGTTAGCTACTCTGTACTTGAGCAGTTTTTTGCCACGACCTACTTACTCAAGTAACTATGTGGAGGACTACTTTCTTTTTCTTTTATTTATATGATTCAAAAGGCACGCTACTCTCACTGGAGTCCAATTTGTGGCTCCTCTCGCTACCTGGGCATCTTGCAAGTAACGCTCGGGGTGGCGGTAGCGGGAGCCTATTTGCCATTCAAGTTTAGCGCCACGCCGTCCCGCTCCAGACAAGCAGCCAACCGTCCCGCCGGTGCAAGTGGCCGCTTGCCCAATTAGACACTCGCGGGGGGCTCGGCGGCAGCCAATGTCCGCCGGCTGCAGGGCTGCCGACAATCAGGATAAACACGCGAGCATCATCATCATCGCGCACTCGCATCGTGATTTTTGTCCCATTGTCTGAGACGACACACATACACACGCGCACACTCGAGGTAAGCCGTCGCTTGTCACGAACTTGTTGGATTGTGTAGGGTGGAGCGCAGCCTTTACCGCGGAGCGTGTTGTCCGTGTGTGAGTGTCTATGTGTGTGCATGGGGTGGGTGGGGGAAAGGGTGAACTTATTTGAATGACAGCGATGGGAAAGGATGCTAGCATAGTGGGACACGCGAGTCTTTCGAATGGTTCTGAGTTGTCTGATGTTGTTGGGGGTGGGATGACGAGGGGGCGAAAATGCCTCAGCGGAGTCCATTTATTCACACAGCGTGGAGTGGCGGGTAACTCCTCCCAATGTCAACACACACACGCCGTGGGTCAGCCTAACGTCCGCAGTTGTATCAACGGAGCGCTAACCTTCGAGAGCTAGCCCGTTACGATAGCCTAGCTTAGCCTAGCCTAGCCTCGTCGTAGCGAGACCGAGAGGCTAACATCTAGTCGAGAAAGTGAACTTAGCACCCATCCAAAAACTCACAGTACAGTAATGACGATGATTACCCCTACTTTAACTCTGCTGATATACGTTTTCCAAGCTTGGCACCGCTGTGCGACGAGCGAGGAGGGCCTGCGGCCTACTGTTAGATGTCGGCCTCCGCTCAGCCATTTACGATGGTTAGCTCGGTGTGCTAACAGTGCGGCTAACAAGCCGGAGGACACAAAGCGAGCGCTTAGGGCGGAGCTAATTCTAATGCATTCATTGACAACATTCACCTGATAGTAAAATACCCCCCTCTTATATTAGTGTGGTTCCTGGAAAGCAGATAGTACTCTATCATTATGGTGTAATGCAGTACCACAGTGGTCATAATGTACAAAACCTCATCAGTCATTCACCCAGACTCCCTCCTTTTCCTTTCTCCTCCCTCCAGCCCCATTAAACAATAGACAAAGGCAGACACTAGCCAGACGTGATTCTGTTCTCATTTACATATTGCCTGTGCGTCTTTAAAGTGTCATATATTCATTCTTTTTTTTTCTAATTTCCTTTGTGTGTGTGTGTGTGTGTGTGCACGCCCACAGTACCAAAGGAAAATGGGGAAGGATCCAAAGAAGCCGCGGGGCAAAATGTCCTCTTATGCATACTTTGTGCAAACGTGCCGAGAGGAGCACAAGAAGAAGCATCCCGAAGCCAGTGTCAACTTCGCAGAGTTCTCCAAGAAATGCTCAGAGAGATGGAAGGTAAGGGATGATCAATTGTCCAAGGCAAGGAAACTCCTTTCAGTTCTGGGGCCGCATTCACTCCAGTTTGAGCACAAATTTAGGTTCGAATCAAATCATCTGCACTTTCTTCACAAAGTCTTTCAGCAGGGAGCTTTTCAAAAAGAGGGTGCAGTTGTCGCCCTGCCTTGGACATATGTCAACATCAAAGTTCATACACGTTGGAATTCGTTGCAAATTGTATGACTTCCACACGCTTCTTTGACATCAATTACCGGTACTACTTTCCCAGAGATTGGACAGTATCTTGTGGCATCTCAGGGGATTGCAGAGAGTGCACAAACCGCAATTATAAATTGTAATAAATATACATATTAGAGTGCATACCTACATATGGGGCATGGCGTGCCAAAAAAAAAAAAAAAAAACCTGCTACATTCTATATTTGATGCTTTTGTTTTAGACAATGTCCCCGAAGGAGAAAGGCAAATTTGAAGACATGGCCAAGCAGGACAAGTTGCGCTATGAGGCCGAGATGAAGAACTACATCCCCCCCAAGGGACAAAAGATGAAGCGCTTCAAGGACCCCAATGCTCCCAAGAGACCACCGTGAGTACACTTTGAATTGACATCCAATGTTGTTCGTGCTCTTTCAGTTTACGTCAAACTGGGGAGGGGCTTAAAATGTGGTATTTGGGGGGGGAATTAACAATCAATTCTTTTTTTTTTTTTTTACTCATTTCTATATGTGTGTGTCTACATGCGCGTGTATTTTTTCATTGTTTCGTTATTCTGTTAGGATATTCTGTCCAATTAATCGTTGAACAATTCAATTATGCATTGTATTATATTTTTTTCACCCATTGTATTCAGATTGTTCGAATGTTGTAATGTCAGACATTTCCATTCCTGTTTTCTGATTCATTCTATTTTATATTATTTAAGATGCATCTTTTTACGTATTACCTTACTGTATTTTTATGCATATACCTTTGAAATTTGCATTTTTCTCATATTTATCCTCAAAGAAATATTTCTTTTCCAGTAATATAAATCTCCTTGATTTTTGCATGCAAAAATACCGTTATTTTCAAGCTTGCTTTTACTCTTGGAAAAGAGTTTCTTAATTTGTGATATATCGGTGTGACTTTTCTGAATTCCCGTTTACTTGAATGTCACATTGAGTAGAAGAAAATCCTGCCCAGTGGACTTTGTCCAACCTGAATGTACGTTTTCTTCCTCCTCTTTGAGACAGCAAACTTGTAAGACGGCACATGTGCCGGTCACGGCTGACTAGCGGGCCCCCACTTCTGCTTCAGTCGCGTTCGGACTCAGCTGACCCGAGCAGAGCGTTAACTTGGTTTGCGCCGCTGCCGTTGCCAACAGGTCAGCCTTCTTCCTGTTCTGCGCCGACTTCCGCCCGAAGGTGAAAGGCGAGCACCCGGGGCTGTCCATCGGCGACACGGCCAAGAAGCTGGGTGAGATGTGGAACGGCTCGTCCATGGAGGACAAGCAGCCCTACGAGAAGAAGGCGGCCAAGCTGAAGGAGAAGTACGACAAGGTGACGTCACGTTCCCGGCGTCGGCACTGCCTCACGTTGTTTCGCACAACGCAGCATGGGCCATGACCCGTCGATGACACATTTTAGTCCGATTTAATAACACTGTTTCTTTTCTTTCAGCCAGACAAACTGGCCCTTTAATTTAAACAATTGGTGATGCATTAGCGCTGTTGTCTGTCCTCGCTGCAGTTGCACTGCCCCGAATAATAACAACCTGCGCGTTTTTAACATCCCCACAGTAAGATTTTATAGATCCCTAAAGATGCCATAGTAGGGCAGGAAAGCTTTACTTCTGCCTAAATGAAACTCCTTGACTCACGTCAACAGGCATCGTGATAACTTGAGCTGGTGGCAAAGTCATTTAGTCATTTATTTATATTGCTTGGGCCTGAGCACATGGAATAAATGCAAAACGTGAATTTTTCAGCAAAGAATGGAGGACAAATTAAAACGTGGACATATTACAAAACATCTTCATGAATATAGCGCCTTCACAACAGCTGCCGCTGAAACAAAGCGTTTTACAGAACAGTTGATGTAAAATAACAAAATAGGGTAATATAACAGAAGACACGGACAGTCATGCGATCGTAACCACTTGAACCTACACGCCTCTTGTTTGAAGCAGTTCGCGATGAAAGAGGAGAGAATCCAAATGTCCTTTCACCAGTGGATCAGAGACGTCATGCTCAAAATGTGCATACGTCTGCTCCAAGCTAAGTTTGAAAGTACACAATTTTGGCATTTGAATGGAGTGGGTCGACTTTTTCTATCTGCTGTACTTCATGGAAGCATTTTTTTTTTGTCTTGAATTCCTGCAAAGGATTTTGTTTTGAAGACCTCTCCCCCGGTTTTGCCATAGGATATCGTGGCCTATCGCACCAAGGGCAAAGTGGATTCCAGCTCAGCGGCAGCAGCAGCGGCAGCGGACGAAGACGAGGAGGAGGATGAGGAAGAGGAGGGAGACGACGACGAAGACGAGGAGGATGATGATGAGTAGGCAAGGGAGACGGGGGGAGGAAGAAAGTGGGGGAGGGACCTGAATTTTGTCCATATCAGATAACCAACCACAATGTACTCAAGCCACCATGTTGACGTCCAGATGGAACATGTGTATATTTAATGTTTTTAAGATGTACTGTACAGTGTTGAGGAAAAAACAAACACCACATATCTTCCCTTTTGGGAACTTTTCTTGTGCTTGTTTTTCTCCCCCGCCAGCAGGACAGTATTAAGTCGCTGCAGGTGTTCCCTCTCGCTCGGAAATGAGATTTCCCAGTTTTGATTGTAAGGTCTTGTTTTTATTTTGAAAAGTCTTCTTTTCCACGTGCCATCCTCCCAGTCATTTTTATTTTGTTGGAATCCCACGAAAATATCAACAAAGTGCAGCTGTCGACATTCAAGAATGTCCTATCGTAAAATAAATGTTTTTCTGTTGTTGTTTTGTTTTTTCAAGAAGTAATTCTTTTGCTCTCCCGACGAACCTGTGGCAGGACCACTTTTCAAAGGTCAAGTTAAACTTTTCCTGACTTCACAGCTCTGAGGAAAAAATTGGAACTGCTGCAAGTTTCAGCCATTTTGGTACGTGTAGATCTGTGCTTGGGTGAAATGAGCATTCCGTTTACTACTTCCAAATACAAACGTTATAGTTTGGAGCACACTTATGCAGAAAATGGCAAATTCTTAAAATACAAAAAGGCCACGTTTATTCTTTTTTTTTCTCAAGCTTTATAAGCTTCAATAAGGATTGTAAGTTCAAGAAAACACATGAACAATCTGGATAAATTTTGAAAAGTGCAAAAAATAAAAAATGTTGCATATTTTTAGCAACTGGGGAGAAAATGTGTCCCAAAACGTTGAATGAGGATGCCAAAAGTTAGGAAGAAGCGACTACGATGCGGCCGGCCGGGCATGTTGCCTTCCTTTTGTGAAACTTCCTCTTGAGGTTCTCCTTGATCTCCTGCATCTTGAAGCAGTAGATGAGCGGGTTGACGGCGGCGGGCAGCAGGCTGTACACCATAATCACCACGATGCGCACCAACTCGCTGAAGTGGAAGCCCTGATTGTTGGCCATGTACACGAAGCAGCGCGGCGTGTAGTACAGGCCCGTGATCAGCAGCTGCGGCGAACACGTCGACAGCACCCTGCCGCGACTCTCACCGCCGTACTTCTTGAGCACCGTGGCCATGATGGCGCAGTAGGAGAAGATGATGAAGGAAAGCGGGCAGAGGAGGCTGAACATGGCCAGGGGGAAGGCCAACCACTCCACCTGAGTGACATGGAACGTTCAGGAAAACGTTGCATATTTTATGCAAGTGTGACAAAGAAAATGCAAGTAGCAAAATGTTTGGACCCCCTACCTGGGACTGGTCGCAGCTGAGCCTGGTGATGCTGAAGTGGTCGCAGTAGCACTGGCGGATGACTGGCGAGTCGCAGAAGGGCAGCGCGATGGCTTCCGTGACCACGCCCACCATCCAGGAGGCGGGCATGAGCCAAGAGACGCCGCCGAGCACCGTGACGACGGCGTTGGTGACCACGGCGGGGTAGCGCAGCGGGTCGCAGATGGCCACGAAGCGGTCCAGCGCCACCAGCATCAGGACGAAGGAGTGCGTGGCGCCCAGGAAGTGCACGAAGTACATCTGCGTGAAGCAGGCGCGGAACGCCATCCACGCGTCGCCCAGCCAGTACCTCCACATGACGCAAGGCATCAACCGGCATGCGGCAACCAAACATTTCAAACCGAATGCCCCCGTTGAAATGAATGCAAATTCCAGCTCCAAAATACCGACATTGAGCTGCCAACTCTCGTCCGTATTCTGTTACGGACGGAAAATGTCTGTTTTGTGGACATTAAATGGTTTTAAAAATCACGGATCACAACACGCGGCTTCCGTCGGTGGCTCCGGTGACGTAAGCATCGCTGCGGAAAGCTACGCGAACACGCTTGCATGTGAGTCCAAAGTGAGCTGAAAGCCAACAACTTGACTCGGGCCCGATCGCTGCTCGTCTGAATAGATTCAGATGAGCGGCGAGAAACAAGTGCAGCCGCACAAAGTGAAGCTTCACTGGCAAATTATTTTGCCCATTAATGCGCACACGAGAATTCGGAATGCCAATGACCGCCGCGGGCCTTTGTGAGTCGTGTAAAAACAAACCAAAAATAAATTCCCCACTGCTTGCACGACTAAAAGAAATGAAAGATTTTTTTTAAAATACGAAATGTTCACCTCCAGATGACTCGAGGCAACGTAACGGTGCCGAAGAGCAGGTCAGTGAGAGCGAGGTGACAGAAGATGAGGAAGGTGGGCTTGTGCAACCTTCGGTCCAACTTGATGAGAAGCAGAATGAAGATGTTCCCGCCGGCGATGGCCAGGAAGACCAGAAGGAGCAGCGCCGACACGGCACCGTGATACCGAGGTACCAGGCCCGGGAAACCCAGCAGGAAGAAATTCGGAAAACTTGTGCCGTTGCTGGACATCATCTTGGTCTGGAAATATTTTACAGCAAATGTAATTTGCACGCCACGTGGAATGAAAGCATTTAAGAATGTTTGCCTCCTACAATATCATTAAAAAACAAAACAAAAATGAATTCGAGGAACATCACAATGGAAAAGGACATGGAATGTTGAGGAAAATATCGCAGATTTTCAATGAGGAAAAAAAGCCGTGCAATAATTGCAATTAACAAGCCAAATAGAATCAAATATGGATACAAAACTTGAGAATCTGGCTAAACGGGGTGAAAACAATGTAGTATATAAAAACTGTACAGTGTGGAAAATGACATGGATTGATCAGGAACATTATTTCAGGAGGGCAAATGCGTAAAAATGCAATTAACAGGCAACATAAAAAGTCTGTATACAAAATTTAAGAATCTGTTCAGCAGGATTAAAGCAACCCGTTCAGTTATTTTTTTTTTAAATAAAAAAGGGTACATCATGCAAAAGGACATGGAACGTTAAGGACAATATTGCATATGGTCAGCGACAAAGTGCAAGAAAGGCAAATAACAATCCATCAAAGATCAATAATACCGATGCGAAAAGAACGCATGACAGATTTTTAAAAAAAGGTACAGCATGGAATGATCAGGAAAACATCTTTACAGCTATTGGAGAGAAAAAGTGCACAAGACTGATAAAACTGAATTTGTCTCCAGTAATTGGAGTCAAGAGCAAAAAAAAAAAAAGACCGTGTGTCCCGAAATGTCCATTCGGGGCATCTTGACAAATCATGAGCAATTACAGTACTGCGAGAATCGATGTCAATGGGAAGACGTACCTTGGAAGCTCAAACGGGTTCGCGCCTTGGCATCATTTGCTTTATGCTAACGTCAAGCTCCCCAGAGTGACGTTCGAACGTGTTGACGTCACGCCGAACAACAAAGGTTTCGGTCGTTTTTTTTTTTTTTGTCTACCTCTGCTCAGCCCAAGTATCATTTGAAAAACAACAACAACACGGGAGGCAAATGTGGCAAAAGTATTCTGACTCTGTAAAGTAAAAAAAAAAAAAGTGCCTATGTACTACAGTAGGCAGCGAGATCGCCAAAAAGAAACGTCTTCTGCCACAATCCAAAGGAATTCAAGCACAAATGAGAGACAACGTGTCGGGACATTTGCAGGAAAAGGTCACAAAGCCATTTCCGAGATTTAAGATTAAAACGCAGCAAGGAGAATCAATACATTGGGAGTGCGGCACAAGAACAATTCAAAAGCACTGAAGGCATTTTGGCTGATGAGGGAAATCGCTGAGATAATCGTCCTAATCAGTTCCAAATCCCACAAGTGCAGATTAGCAAAACTCCCGCGCGCATTTTAATTCATTAGACGTGTAAATATCCCTTGTGGTTAATGTTTCACACTCGGCGCGCGATCTTTAATAGGCTACACACTCTTGTGTGTGTGTGTGTGTGTGTGTGTGTGTGTGTGTGTGTGTGTG